CCGCCGTATGAACACATTAGCCGATGTTTCCAAATTCAAATCATTTCCAAGTTTATCTCTGCTGAAGCTCAAGGGGGACGGTAGATTGCACTTTCCGGTACTGCCCATAAACAAAGTAAATAATACTTAAACTTTTTTTCTGTTTAATAAAGAAGTATCGTTTAATTTTCAGGGGAGGATGAGCAGGGTTGAAAGTAAAGTACATAAGTTAAACTGGGGGACACCATTCATGATACAAGAATTTGATGCTGGGAGACAAAATGAGTTTTACTTTCAATTTATGTTATGTATCGCAAGCATGCTCATGTTTGAGTACAATAATACAAGTCATTGAAAGTTATTTCGTACTCACACTAACATTAAGATAGTGGTGTCAGGTATTTAAACAATTTCAATAAATGATATCATATCTTTTTAATCATATCTTGTTGATATGTCCTATTTTAACCTGCTGTTGTAGATGAGATATTAAATTTTATTAATAGAGTGTACTTATATATATTTATACAATTAATAAATGATTTTGTTGATACGAAGTTTTGGACGTTCTTCCTATGTAAATTATATATTGCCATAGTTATGTTGAATACAATTTACCTTCGGTTATTTTAGTATTTGCAAAATGCAAATGCTTTCAATGATAAATCTGTACTCTAATTAAGGGCCAGTTTGATTTTGCAGAGCAATGAATGCTGAAAATATTAATCACCTTGTGATTTTGTAAAAAAGCTTTTCATGTACGTTTATGTCCTGCTTTAATAAAGCATTATTTTGGGATAATTATATAAAGAAACTTAAGCTACCTAACAACTTTATAAATTGAATAAATCGTTCGTTTCCAATTTGGAGAATCATGTCATTTAAACTACAAACTGATCTTTTTGGTTTAAAAGCATCACACGATCATATCAATTTTATCGTTCATAAAAGGGCAAAAATATATTTAGTAATTTCACATATTGTAATGCACTTAAAGATCCTGTAACTCAATTTTTATGGTTTTATATCATAAATCTAACGCTCTAATGACGATTTATTAATATTGTAAGTTCAAAAAAAACATTTTTTGTAAAGATATTACCGAATTTTCATTTCATGTTAATAAAGAAAGATAATAGAAATTTATTTTCGATTAAGTCATAGCTAAACTTTTCAATAAGGAATGAATGCATAAATTTTAATGATTAATTATAATGCGAATAAACATTTGGAGTACATATTTAACATATTTTTTAATGTTTAGAAAATGGTTTAGAAGAATAATTGTATGTATATATAAAATGTCACTTAAAAGTTGTTACAACATTAATTTAGCGTTCACACAGAAATAAGTAGTATTATCAAAAGTTTGTGTCCCCTAGGTCTTTTATAGATGATAATTATGCTACATGTATTTCTTTATATTTATAAATATATTTCATATTTCATAGTAATAAAAAATGGAATGATAAACAGTACATTTTTTTATCTACGTAGTTATTAGAGGTTGACTCTGAAGTTGTCTAGATTCATTAATGTGGTGAGAATTATAAGAATTACAGTAGAGACTACGCCTTCATTATGCCGAAATAAAACCCCTGTCACACTAGGGCGGCGTAAATTCAGAACGCCGAGGTGAGCGCAGTAAGATTACAAACATCGCCGCAGCATCGTGACAGTATCGTAGTGGTATCGCATAGAATGCTGACCGACGACGCGCAATTTGAGCATGCTCATAACAAACGCCGTAACTCGGCGTTCTGATAAGAGCGCTGTGGGATCGCAGTAAGGACGCCGTAGAAACTGAGTAGCATCTACGACAACGCAACATGTGCGCCCCGAAAGCGTAAAAGGAACTCCGAAAGAATGCGCGCTTGTACGGAAATTAAACTTATACTACGTCTAGTATTAAGTGTGCTCTGCTAATTTACGGAATTTTCGAATTCAGCGCAGTACGAATGACGCGTGAGCACCGTAAAAGTGCAGTGGAAGCGCAAAGAACGCAGTAGAAGCACATTCTGAACGCAGACAATCACCAGTTAAAACGCCATGGATGCTCCCTAGCATAGCCATGATTGCAATGAGGACGCAGTGAAGACTCAGTGAAGTCTCCATGTCATTAAAATTATAACACTTTTATTAGGATCTCGCGGCGTTTTGTTAAATTTTACAGCGTCGGTCAAACGCAGTGAAAGAGCAGTCTAATGTGGCAGGGCCTAAATGAATTTGAAAAAAAAATCGATATAGGCGTATGTCAGTCAAGTTACGAATACCTCTTGATATATATTTTTGTTTCTAAAAACCTTTACATAAAATGATTCATGTTCGGGCCACTTAATCAAAAGAACTATTCGTCTAGCCAATGCATTACACACGCATTTCCTCTCACAAACGCAATGAAGTCAATCACATAACATAAGAGTTATATTGCAGACATTTATAAATATACGATGTATTAACTCATTATATGAATCATGGGGAAAATAAATTTGCATGTAATAAAACATCATGCCTTTAGAATCCGCACTTTTTTTAGCATCAGTTTTTCGATATAACTAGCGATTTTGATAAGACTGGACCTATTTTGAAAAATATTGAAGAAAATTATGATCTCAGTGTAGTCGAACCAGTATGTCATTACTACGATTTTCGACAATACAAACGAAACGAATGATGCGAAATTAACTGTTTCCCAAAGGGACTCCAACATGAAATGTTCATCACAACAATACCTTCCTTCATAGAGGTCAATATTATCAATGGACAAATTTCGCTGTGGTAGATTCTCTGTCGTATTTATACTTTCTACCCAAAAGATTTTTTCAGGGTCTTACATGTCTTAGGGGATGAAGTATTTTTTTTCTTTGATAGTACAATAGGTACAATCTAATCTGATATTTTAGACAACTAGCACTGTTAATAAATTGTTACATCTGTCAGTTGTGAATATGGTAATGCATGTACATATACTATTGCACTTAATAAATTAATTTTAACAGTTCATTATACATCTATATGCAGATTATTTATCATTATGCACATATAAATTTTGGTTCATACCCTAATTTTAATGGGTCGGGAAGGGGAAACAAACATATTTTTTTTTTGGCCTTGGAAATCCTCAAGTTTGTATTTCAATTTATGTTCAAGTTTCAAGTTGCTTAAGTAACAGGTATTTATTTTGATTTAACATTTACCGGACCATGTTTTACTTCGATGATGAAGAATTATTTCAATTGTTTAACTGTTTAAAAAAGTTTCATTTATTTATACTCAAAAATTATACAAGATTATTCGATTTGTTACACATTATCTTACGCAAGATCTAAATCATATATTTTTTTTTATAAATGATAAAAGTAATGAAGCTGCATGCCTTTATTTTTCGTCACCTGCTATTTTTTTCTAAACATATTAGATTATAATTAAGGTGTTTCGGATGTCATACTTCAATGCAATGTACACGCTATTTACTAGTTAACTAGTGTTAGTTATAAAGTATAACAACTAAATTCTAATAGATATAATGGTCAAAACATTCTTTTAGGGGAGTGCATTTTTAAAATTATCTATCATATATGTGTGTGTAATGGTAAAAATCAACAACAACATTTCAAAGTTTCTGAGTTTAAATACTCATATTAACATTCATTATGAAAATTACTGTTATATTGTATAACAATAATCTCTACATTTGAGCAATGAAATAAGCATTCTTACACAATTTCCCTTATAAATACAAATGTATGTAGTAAACCAAACTATGTTATCCCAAAAAATATGATAAACAAGATCAACAATGAAAGTCTTCTGTCTTGACAAATCAATAATGTAAAATTAACATAAAATAATTTCCCTTTGGTGAACAAAATAAGGTCTCCAACAGGTAGACAGGGTGCTTGATAGTAATTTTCTTATTGACGATCAACAGGAGTTTTTTCAAGATGAGTGCTCCTCAATCAAACACTATTCTGCGCTCTTTTTACATAATGGACATGTAACCTCACTATGTTAAGATACTGCGACCAGAATTAATATCCTCTGATTTTCCCTCCACCCTTTGTTGAATAACTATGACAGAAATTGTGTTCTGTTATGATTGAAAGGGTGCATTTAGTTTCTTCGACCTTAAGAAATATCCAACATATCTGCCACTCGTTTACAAGCCACGATATGCATTTAGTGTATAAATTTATTTTATCTTTCGCAGGTAATATTTTCATTATCCTTACAACAAATATCCATGTCTATCCTTTTTTAAAAAAAAGCATTTTGTTTCCACTTTTAAAACATATTACAATAATGGAACAACTGAAATAGTAATTAATTCCATCATTGTGTCAAATTCGGGTCAGTGTTTGTTAACTTTCAATCAAGATTAATAAGAAAAATACCTAAACCAAAACTTTAAAATCACACTTGAAATGAATTATCAGGTAAAGAAGACTTTTATGCCTATTGAAGAAGTAAAGAAACCAAGTAAATTACTCAAAGTGTTATTCATATAAATAAACATCTATATGGTGGGAAAATCAAAATTTGTTTTTCAAACATTTCATAGAAATTAATATGATTTTTGTTTCTTAATGTCTTTAATGTTAACTGTGATAATGAAACTACCTTTGAACGATAATTATCTCTTTAACTTCTGCAGTACCGTTTCTATCAAATTACCAAATTCCAGTTTTGCAGTTTATATTGATTGATCGATCTGATTGATTTAAAAATTTCGATTAAAAGAAAAATCGAATAAAATAAGGACTTACGAATTCAACTTTGATCTTGCTGCAAATAAAACCTCAAGGCAATAAACATAGTAAAATTGAACAATGGACTCGAAGAGAAAAAATACAAACATTTAAAATTAAGAAACTATTGAATAATTCATATTGCGCTTAAAATTACATCTCCAGTAGAACATTTGATTTGATATTAAAAGGTCAATCGTAGACATGCATTTTCTTAAGTTATTGTAACTTGTATTTATGATGAAAATAATAATATCTAATTAAATTTACAGGATGTCAGAAATGCCTGATTACACTCGCAATGTGTCACTCAGACTGTCTAAAGTACTTGATGAGATAGGAGTGAACGAAAAAATAGTAATAAAAAGAAGGCGACAAGGGCTAATGAAAGAATCAATACGTACGATAGGGCACAAATTAATAATACATGAAGATGTAAATTTGTATCTCTTAGGTAGTAGAATAGAAGGTACTACAACACTTGGACTTAATTCTGACGTGGATATTCTTTTCAAACGTCCCATGTATAGTGTTATACAAGATTGGACTGAATGGGAACCTGGTAAACAAAACCTGTTAATGATACAGGATGATACTATATCACCAGGATACTGCTTATTACAGATACTGAGATGTGATGCTCCACTTCCAGAGGTCAATGTATTTGATCAATACTCGCATAGAGATAGATTAGGAAGAGTACTATTAAATAATGCAATAGCAAATATCGTGAAGCATGCTGAACATGTTAGACATGGCCCAGCACAATCAATGGACGGAAGGCCTGGTTTCTTAAGTCATGACCTTGTCTCTGCAATGTCTTGTCAACAGTGGCCATTGCAAGCTAGACAATGGATTGCTCAGCAAGGTGAAGATATGGGGTGTTTCGTTGTAGGAGTTGGAGGCAAAGGAAGTGAAAATGAAGAACTTGAATGGAGAATATCCACTTCCCTTGCCGAGCGATATTTAATGTTTAATTTGAATATAACACAAATCAGATGCTATGTCTTAATGAAAATGATCTTAAAATCATTTATAAATACACAATGCCCTGACAGCATTTCAAGTTTTATGTGTAAAACGGTCATGCTTCATTGTATTTCAAGTACAGATAACAACGCTTGGAATGAAAACACCTTGCTAATCTGTCTGAATTATTGTCTGACAATTCTTTACAATTGTGTTTTAAATGATAATTGTCCACATTTTATCATCCCTGAGAACAATTTAATGGCTAGACGTTTTACTCCATTGACAAAACAAGTCATACTAGATACACTCTCTTACATTATAAGCAGTAACGGAAGTGCATTACTTGAAATAGAATGTGATCAACTTGGTTTCAGAATTCAAAACACTTTTTTGAGGTTAGTAGAGATTGTACCTGAAGCTATGTCTTGTAAGATTTCAGGTAGTCTCGTAAAAAATATTGGTTTTTCCTTCAGTGACATGCATTATTCTGTCCTCAAAAAAACGAATAAAATCAATGACATAAGAGTTCTATTGCAGACATTATATAAATACCTTATGCAATTAACTCATTATATGAATCAAAGGCAAAATAAATTAGCATGTGGTGCATTGGCTAAATTTCTAAGCATGCATTTAGGTTCCGCTCTAGCTTCAATTAACATACATAGTCAAGTTGGTTTGTGCCGAGAATCTACCGTTTTGTTGTCGTTATGTCTAAACTTAGACCTAATATCAAATAAAGTGAAACTAGCATCAATTTTCTATTGTACAGGAGAAATTGAGAGGGCTGAACTTATTTTGAAAAATATTGAAGAAAGTTATGACCACAATGTGGTTGAACCAATATGTTGTTGCTACGATTTTCGACAACCTAAACGCAAAAGGGCATTCGATAAGTTATGTTATGAAGCAGATAATGAATATGCATTGTTACAGAGTATAACTGCATCATGTGTCATGTTTCTACGATGTGAAATAAACTGCTGTCCCAAAGAACTCCAATATGAAATGTTCAGATCAACGCAACCAGACCTCCCTTATAAAAGTTTCAATGATGAATGTATGAATTTGGCTGTTGTAGACTCTCTACCATATTTATACTTTCTACAGTTTAAGACATATTCACATCTCAGAAGGAATCGTGATAAACAGGCGGCAATTTCCAATCTTGCTAAATGCATTGTAGAGGAACCAAATTTCGGACACAAAGAAACAGCATTAAATCTTCTAGGTCAGTGTATGGAGCAATAAAAAAAATGGACGAGGCCTTAAAGTGCTATCTGTTATCTCTGAAAATACGAGGCAGAAATAATGCTGCAAACTTTCATATCTGTAGACTTGTAAGCTCAATGTTGTGTTCAGGCTTCCATTAAAATAAATGTGGAAATATTTACTTTTCGTGACTTCGAACTGAAAATATGAATACATGTGATCCCTTTATAGAAAGGCCTAGCTTGTCATACAATTTGAAAATGGAACAGCAAGATATATTACAGTTTTTTTATCTAGGATAAAAATATGTCACTTTTTGCGGTGTGTATGGTTATTTGTATGCATCGAACCAGGAGTTGTCATGTTATGCATTTGTCAGACTTGTAAGGTGACTTAGAATATTGAAAGCATGATGTAAAATTGTCTTTAACGTAAATTTTAACAAAGTAGAAATTACTATCTAATTATAATACGTAAATTCATTTATTATAGTTGTATGAAAAGGATTATGTTTCAAGTATTTTCAATGAACAATTTTAAAATATTAAGCAAACCTGCAACTGTATGATTGTCTTAAGTTTTATCGAACGTGTCAACGTGCCAAGCAAAATTGTATATTTAAATAAATTAGTTTGAGGTTCTAGGTTTTCAATAATATCTTCTAGTTTGGAAACATATGTGTATGATAAATGAAATATTTCGTCATTTAATTGTTCAAAAATGTTTTTATTCTTGTAATATTTCCCAATTTGAACGATGATATAAATATAATGGGAAGTCAAATATTTGTAAAAATTTAACATTGATTAAATTCTTTTGTCGCAATTTGTAATAATGAAACATTGTATATGTACGAGTATTTGTGCAAAAAACAATAAAAAAATGAAATATGAAATTCTTATCTTATTTTATATTTTAGTACAAAAGCATGTAAATGTTTTTAATTAAGTAATCTTATGTTATAAGGACAGTGTTAAGTAAACTGAAAAGAGTTATTTGTGTCTGAATTCCATATTCTTATGTTTTAGTTTTTCATAGGGACTTAACGAGTTATATAGTGAAAAGTAAGCACAAGAATATATATATGTATTTTCAAGCAAAATACGACTTTTTTCGGCTATCAACGTCACCCTAAGAAGTCGAAGTTGAGTAAAATTTCGATGATAATCTTTTATCACTGCCATTTAAACTAAATTTAAGGTACCTCGCCGCCACTTTCTAAGCCCGGTTTTGTAATGAATTTGCTGGAGAAAAGATATGGTGTTATATACTTTCCAAATTATATACTAGTACAAATATGTTTTGTATTATTTAGCTTAAAGTAGCATGCCTGCGAGTTCATGCTATTTTCAGAAAGTTTTTTAAATTGTTTTTAAAAGAAAGAAATATTATGCTCAAATTTGATGTTTGGATTAACTGATAATTGTTACACTGTATCTTTTTAACAAAGTAGATATGTTTTAACCTCCACACACTACTGGATACCACAATATGAGTATTTAGTGTCGTTAAAAAAAACTGGCAGATTTTTTAAGACAGGACCATCTTAACTCGCCCTGTTATAGGGAATGCAGCTATCCTTACATACGTTGTACATTCTTATCTGGAGGCATGCAGCTTTATTGCTAAATACCTGTTATTTCTGTTTAAGGTTTTTATTTCTTTTCTTACAGATTTGGCATTGTCTGCTCACCAAGTTGCCATACTGTGTATATAAAGACTCACAAAACAGTGAAATGAGCTGGAATCCCTGTCCTTTGCACCTATTTTTAGTCTATATAGATGAAGAAATATTTGTCATGTTGTAGATTTTAACTAAAGATATAATAGAAATGTTGTGACATTTATTATAAAAGATTTATGAGCTCTGATTCATATTATGATTAGACATATTTCACAAGAACGTCTACTATTGCCAAAATATCTATTCATGTATTTTTCTTTATTCATCAAATACACTATCAGTTACAAAGGGTTTTTGGCTATTGTGTGAATGAAATGTTTATGAAATACTTAAAATTGTTCAACTAGTCTGTAATATAATGTTGAAACAATGTAGAGTAGATGTGTTATGTGGTTTATTAATGAATAAAAGTATATGAATTGAACAAATGTTTTGATACTTTATTCTCACTAGTGAAATATAGATTTCAGAAATATTATATAAAAGATGTCAGCATCTGCCATAATATAATAGAAAAAATCTAAAAGGTCATAAAAAACAATGGTTTAATTTATTTAAAAATTTATTAATCGTTCATCAAAATATATTGGTGCTCACTTGTTTCGGAAAGCTATAATTATGATTCCTGGCTGAAATCCCGTCATCGTGCAACTTTTATGTAGCCAGCCCATTAACTAGATCCTAGTGTTGTTCATTCGCATGTAGCATTGCCTAGTGACACTTTACAGAAGATACACGACTGTTTCCCTCGGCCCATAAGCTATGTATAACATGCCCCTATACAGTCAAAGCCGGTCACTATTTTAACCACTTGTTCATTTAGGTGAGAGATTTTAGAGTTTGAGTTTGAATGAAATTGAATATGACACAGTGACATTTTTCTAGGTGTAAGAGGGTGTGTGACATGATGCACTTTAAGATTTTATCTCATGATCAGTCCCAATCAAACAGAGTCTGTAATTATCAATTAATATTGTTGTTTTCGTTGCTTTGGCGGGAGCACCTGTTTTCCAAATTTTCATATTGTTATGTGCAGTGTGGCAGCTATAAAAGTTGCCCCATAGTTCACTTTTATAGTGTTATTTTTTTTCTCGTCACTCCAGAATATTGACTAAGTGTTGAACATTGAATACCGCTTAGCCGGTGTAAGGGGTGCGTGAGGGGTGATGTATTTTCACATATAATTCAAAATGAGACTGCTATTTCCAATTGATATTGTTGTTTGCCTTTGAGGGTTCACCTATATTTTCAGATTGTTTTTGTTTGAATTGGAGAAGTTATTACCTCATCTATTGTAATAGATCTCAGTTGAACATTCTAGGACCACAGTTGCTCTGTTGTTCTATTATCAGGACACATCTGTAGGGATGACACTTATTTACATGTCAGAAACATTGTGTCAAAGAAAGGAACATGCCATTCTTATAAACCTACACCTTCCCAGTTATAAACATAACATCTGATGATGATTTAATATGACTATATGACATGTTTAAATGAGGCAGGAACATATTTGAATTAAATATATGTTTAGATAAGAATATAGATGACAGGAAATGTTCATCATCCTAACAATGGCTTGGGACGAATCAGTACTTATGAAAAGAAGTAATTTGATAAAATGAGCCGCGTCATGACAAATCCAACGTAATGTGTTTGCGACAAGCATGGATCCAGACAGCCTGCACATCCGCGCTGTCTGATCAGGATCCATGCTGTTCGCTTACAAACCCTATTACAAGTAGAAAAACTGATAGCGTACAGCATGGATGTTAATCATACTGCGCGGAGGCGCAGGCTGGTCTGGATCCATGCTGGTCGCAAACCCACAATGTTGGTTTTGTCGTGACGCGACTCAAAGGATATTTAGCTTTATAATTTAAACATTTGGGTATTATAAATGAGATTTCATATGAACGGAAGTTTTCTGTACATGTTATTACGAAAATTATTTATTACTTTTTAATAAAAAAATGCACATAATAAATTTCATATTTATTTTTTTTTTGATTTGGTTAAATTACAGTTTACAAAACGCTACTTATTGGCAAATTAGCCTATAAAATCAATTATAAAACACAAGTTTTTTTTCAGGTATAATAAAAGGAAGTAAATATGTGGAGCATAATCGCAAATTTTCGGCCGTTTACGTCAATCTCCGGACATTGACAATTCATGTTACGATTGACTGATTATCATTATTAATCGTCGAGGTGTTCTGTTTGCTAGATACGTAGTTTTATCAACAGTTGGAACTCCCAAGTTTCTATTTCAATTTATGTTCAAGTTTTCAAGTTGACTAAGTAACAGGTATTTATTTTGATTAATTTTTTTTCATGTATTTATATCTTATTTCATTCTTAATTTAGTATCGATCGATCATTAATCTATGTTTGAATAAATAAGAAATAGTAAAGCACTAATTAGAAAAAGGTAAACGATTGAAACAGCTGAAAAGGAGTGACGTAGGAGCAACAGTATGTGTTAAAGATGTTCAATTGATTGATTTCATTTAAAATTAAATCGTAAAACATTTACTGTGGTAAATCCTCAAGCGTTTCGAACACTTAAATGGCTAGTTTTCCAAATGAAATTGGTCGTAAATTCGCCGTACTTTAACCATTTAATTTCATAAATTTGGTAAATGTTTTACAATGAACGCCATTTTTCTCTAATTTGCGTAATATATCTCATCTTTTAACTTCCTTAATCTTTGACCTAGTTCATGCGAAATACACTTACAATAGGCATTTTCGTTTGACAAACCGATAGGACAAAAGAAAAAAATCCTTGTTTGAAATCAAATGAATAAGGGAAAGAGTGTAGCCTACATGATCGTTGAAGTTGATGTGGTATGACATTCATTATTTTAGACTTTGAACTAGAGACTTGTGATTTCTCTCATCACTGAATATGTGTAATACATTGGCAGAAAATTCGCAAACAGGTAATAATATTAAAGAAAAAAAGTTATTTCTCAAGTGGTAAAATTTTCAAGTTTTTTTTTAAATTATTGTTTAAGTAAAAGTAAAGTAAGAAGAGTGTCTAGTACATAACCATGGTCGTTCTTCTCTATAAAAATAACATTTACCGGTCCATGCTTTACTTTGATGTTGAAGAATTATTTCAATTGTTTAACTGTCTACAAAAGTTTCATCTGTTAACACGCATAAATTATACAAGATAATTCGCTTTGTTTCACATTATCTTACGCAGGATCTGAATCATGTATTTTTTATAAATGATAAAAGTAATTAAGCTGCATGCCTTTATTTTTCATCACCTGCTATTCTTTTTCTAAAAATATTAGATTATAATTAAGGTGTTTCGGATGTCATACTTCAATGCAATGTACACGCTATTTACTAGTTGACTAGTGTTAGTTATAAAGTATAACAACTTAATTCTAGTAGATATTATAGTCAAAACAGTTCATTTTTAATATTATCTACCATATATGTATGTAATGGTAAAAATCCAACAACAGCATTTCAAAGTTTCTGAGTTTAAATACTCAAATTAACAATTCATAATGAAAATTACCGTTATATTGTATAAAAATAATCACTACATTTGAGCAAAGAAATGAGCATTCCTATAAATATGTAGTAAACCAAACTATGTTATCCCCAAAAATATGATAAACAAGATCAACAATGAAAGTCTGCAGTCTTGATTAATCAATAATGGTAAAATTATCATAAAATAATTTCGCTTTGGTGAACAAAAATAAGGTATCCAACAGGTAGACGGGTGCTGGATGGTAATTTTCTTATTGACGATCATTAGGATGAGTGATCCTCCATCAAACACTATTCTGTGCTCTTTTTACATATCTTTAATGGATCAAACACTATTCTGCGCTCTTTTTATACATATCTTTAATGGATTAAACACTATTCTGCGCTCTATTTACATATCTTTAATGGAGATGTTATCTCACTATGTCAAGATACTGCGTCGATAAACCGTGACCAAAATATCCTCTGATTTTCCCTCGCTCCTTTGTTGTGACATTTGAAACCGTGACCAGAATATCCTCTGATTTTTCCTCCCTCCTTTGTTGTGACATTTGTAACCGTGACAAGAACACCCTCTGATTTTTCCCTCTCTCCTTTGTTGTGACATTTGAAACCGTGACCAGAATATCCTCTGATTTTCCCTCTCTCCTTTGTTGTGACACTTGTAACCGTGACCAGAACATTCTCTGATTTTCCCTCTCTCCTTTGTTGTTACATTTGAATACCAATGACAGACGTTTTGCCCGGGACATAACTTTAAAACTATTAGAGGTATCAAATGAAACTTTGTAGGTAGATAGATCTCATTGAGTAGGTGTGCAGTGCACAAGAACGGTGATTCTGCCTTGCCTAATTTTTGAATTATCCCCCTTTGTTAATTTTACACTTTGAACATTTTCCGGGACATACCTCAAAAACTATAAGAGGTATCAACATGAAACTCTGTAGGTAGAAAGATCTCATTAAATAGGCGTGTAGCGCACAAGAACTGTAACTCTGCCTTGCCTAATTTTTGAATTATTCCCCTTTGTTTATTTTTACACTTTGAACTTTGTCCGGGACATCACTCTAAATGTATAAGAATTATCAACATGAACCTCTGTACGTAGATATATCTCATTAAGTAGCTGTGCAGTGCACAAGAACAGTAACCCTGCCTTGCCTAATTTTTGAATTATTCCCCTTTGTCTATTTTCATACTTTGATCTTTGTCCAGGACAAAACTCTAAAACTATAATAGGTATCAACATAAAACTTTGTAGGTAGATATATATCATTAAGTAGGTTTGCAGTGCACAAGAACCGTTACTCTGTCTGGCCTAATTTTGGAGTTATTGCCCTTTCTTAATTTTGACACTTTGAACTTTGTCCGGGAAATTACTCTAAAATTATAAGAGATATCAACATGAAACTTTGAAGATAGATAGGTCTCATTAGGTAGAAGTGCATTGCGAATCATAACTCTGTCTTGTCTAATTTTGGAGTTATTGCCCTTTGTTCATTTTTACATTTTGAACTTTACCCGGGACATAACCGGTTCTTGTATTGATTTATATATATATATATATATAGGTTGATAGAAAAATCTAATAAGATAAGGAGTTACGAATTCAACTTTGTTCTCGCTGCAGATTAAACCTCAAGGTTCCTTAAAGCTGCAATAAACATAGTAAAATTGAACAATTAGCTCGAGGAAAAACAAACACAAATATTAACAATTAAGAAACTGAATAATTATTGATATTGCGCTAAAAATTACAGCTCCAAAAGAAAATTGGATTTGATATTTGCAAAGTCAATTGTAGACATGCATTTTCTTTAATTATTGTAACTTGTTTTTATGATGAAAATAATAATATTTAATTAAATTTACAGAATGTCGGAAATTCCTGATTATACTCGCAATGTGTCACTTAGTCTGTCTAAAGTACTTGATGAGATAGGAGTGAACGAAAGAATGGTGATAAAAACAAGGCGACTACAACTAATGAATGAATCGTTATGTACGTTAGCTCACAAGTTAAAAGATGAAGATGAAGACGGGAATATGTATACCTTAGGTAGTAGAGTAGAGGGTACTACAACACTTGGACTTAATTCTGACACAGATTTACTTTTCACACTTGCCGCGTACACAGTGATACAAGACTTGAGTGAATGGGAACCTGGTAAAATAAACCTGTTAATGATACAGGACGATACTGTATCACCAGGATATTGCTTATTACAGATACTGAGACAGGATGCTCCACTTCCAGAAGATAATGTGTATGATCAGTACTGGTATAGAGATAGAATAGGAAGAGTACTATTAAAGAATGCAATAGTCAATAGCAGGGCTGGTGCTGAATTTGTTAGACATGGTCCAGCACAATCAATGGATGAAATGCCTGGTTTCTATGGTAATGACCTTGTCCTTGCAATACTTTGTCAACAGTGGCCATTGCAAGCTAGACAATGGATTGCTCAGCAAGGTGAAGGTCAGTGGCCTACATATGATATGAAACAATATTGTAAAGATATGGGGTGTTTCGTTGTAGGAGTTGGAGGCAAAGACAGTGAAAATGAAGAACTTGAATGGAGAATATCCACTTCCCTTGCCGAGCGATATTTAATGTTTAATCTGAATATAACACAAATCAGATGCTATGTCCTAATGAAAATGATTTTAAAATCATTTATAAATACACAATGCCCTGATAGCATTTCAAGTTACATGTGTAAAACGGTCATGCTTCACTGTATTTCAAGTACAGAAAACCATGCTTGGAACGAAAACACTTTGCTAATCTGTTTGAATTATTGTCTGACAATTCTTTACAATTGTGTTTTAAATGAAAACTGTCCACATTTTATCATCCCGGAGAACAATTTAATGGCGAGACGTTTTACTCCAGTGACAAAACAAGTCATACTAGGTACTATTTCTTACATTTTAAGCAGTAAAGGAAGTGCATTACTTGAAATAGAATGTGATCAACTTGGTTTCAGAATTCAAAATACTTTTTTGAGGTTAGTAGAGATTGTTCCTGAAGATATGTCTTGTGAGATTTCAGGCAACCTCGTGGGAGATATTGGTCTGTTTGTCAATGAATTGCACTTGGATTTCCTCAAACATACGAATAACATCAGTCACATAAGAGTTCTATTGCAGACATTATATAAATACCTTATGAAATTAACTCATTACATGAATCAAGGGCAAAATAAATTAGCATGTAGTGCATTGGCTAAATTTCTAAGCATGCATTTAGGTTCCGCTCTAGCTTCAATGAACATACATAGTCAAGTTGGTTTATGCCGAGAATCTACCGTTTTGATGTCGTTATGTCTAAACGTTGACCTAATATCGAGTAAAGTGAAACTAGCATCAATTTTCTATTGTACAGGAGAAATTGAGAGGGCTGAACTTATTTTGAAAAATATTGAAGAAAGTTATGACCACAATGTAGTTGAACCAATATGCCAATGCTACGATTTTAAACATAAAAAAAGTAAAAGGGCATTTGATAAATTATGTTATGAAGCAGATGATGAATATACATTGCTACAGAGTATAACTGCATCTTGTGTCAAGTTTCTACGATATGAAATAAACTGTTGTCCCCATGAACTCCAACATGAAATGTTCAGATCACCGCAACAAGACCTCCCCTATAGAGGTAAAAATGATGAATGGATGGATATGGCTGTGGTAGATTCTCTGCCATATTTATACTTTCTACAGTATAAGACATATTCTCATCTCAGAAGGCATCGGGATAAACAGGCGGCACTTTCCAACCTTGCTAAATGTATTATAGAGGAACCATTTTCGGACACAAAGATACAGCACTAAACATTCTAGGTCAGTGTATGGAGCAAGAAAACAGAATGGATGCTGCTCTAAAGTGCTATCTGTCCTCTCTGAAAATACGAGGCAGACATAACTCTGCAAAGTTTCATATCTGTAGACTTGTAAACTCACTGTTGGGTTCAGGCTTCCATTAAAATAAATGTGAAAATATTTCCTTTTCGTGACTTCGAACTGAAAATATGAATACATGTGATCCCTTTATAGAAAGGCTAAGCTTGTCATACAATTTGAAAATGGAACAGCAAGATAATATTACAGTTTTTTTTCATCTATGATAAAATATGTGACTTCTTGGCGGTGTGTATGGTTATTTGGATGCATTCAACCAGGAGTTAGATTGTTATGTAATGCATTTGTCAGACTTGTAAGGAGACTTAGAATATTGAAAGCATGATGTAAAATTTTCTTTAACGTAAATTTTAACAAAATAGAAATTACTATCTAATTATAATACGTGAATGTAAAGTCATTTCTTATAGTTGTATGAAAAGGATTATGTATCAAATATTTTCAATGACCAATCTTAAAATATTAAGCAAACATGCAACTGTTTGATTGTCTAAGTTTTATCGAACGTGTCAACGTGCCAAGCAAAATTGTATGTTTAAATAAATTAGTTTGAGGTTATAGGTTTTCAATAAGATCTTCTAGCTTGGGAACAGATGTGTATGATCAATGAAAGATTTCGTCATTTAATTGTTCAAAAATGTTTTTATTCTTGTAAAGATTCTATGTTCCGTTCAAATTTTCCATTTATTTAGGAGTTAGCCATTTATGGAAAATATTTCCCAATTGTACGATGATATAAATGGGAAGTCAAATATTTCTGAATGTATAAAAATAACATTGATCCAATTCTTTTGTCGCAATTTGTAATAAATAAACATTGTATATTTGTGCAAAGATATTGTGAAAAGAAAGAAGAAATGAAATATGAAATTCATATCTTATTTTATATTTTAGTACAAAAGTCATGTAAATGTTTGTAATTTATAAATCATATGTTATAAGGACAGTCTTAAGTAAACTGAAAAAAGTTATTCGTGTCTGAATTCCATAGTCTTATGTTTTAATTCTTCATAGGGACTTACCGAGTTACATAGTGAAAAATAAGCACAAGAATTATCTATACGTATTTTCAAGCAAAATACGACTTATTTTCATTCTCTGTTATCTATATCTCTGGTACAATATTAGTCTTGCTATATTTATACCTAGAATTAAAAAATGTCCTTGTATGATGCCTTCTTATAATACAGAATTAAAACAAGGTTCGCTTATATATGGAATTTCTTTAATTATTAGTTGACATGTTTTTATTTGAAATCTTTTCGTGTTTCAACTGAATAAATTATAAATATTATTTCCAAATATTACTTCCTATTTCAGAGTGATACAAAAACGATTAAAATATTGAATGCTTTATGAAAAGTATTCCGTAACTGTTTTAATGACTTTCATATTATGCACCAATGGGTCTCTACAGCACATATGGAATTTAATAGCAAATTCGGTTGTTTGAAGCAAAATCTCAATGAATGTTTCAAAGTAGTTTGTTTGATTCTTTTTCTAAGCATGACATTTTTTGACACGTCAGAACCCATTTTATTATAGTGCACAGTTGGATCAGCTTAAATTCATGTATATTTTACCGATGCTCAAATTAGAGACCCACGTGTAGTTACCCGTGCATGAATTTATTTTTTTATAAAGAAGGTGAACTGAAGTATATTTACTTCATTGAATATATTCAGAACCATTTTTATATTCAATTTCATCAGTGTTGAAAAAACAACAACAACTAATGTAATGTAATGTTATGTAATGAACAATAATGCTTAAATCACTGAACACTATTGAGATAGACATAAAATACCTATACAATTGTACTACATGTATAATATTCAGGCGTGATGACTCAAAAAATGTGATTTGGTAGAAACATATATATTACAATATTTCAACTTTTCTATTATAACAATTTACAAGAAAAGCATTGATGCAAAGCATCAAAGGGCGTCCAAGCAAGAAATGCAGCAAGTGAAGATGAACTAGTACACATATGATGACAAGATATTCTTATAAACTACCAGAAATGTATACCACTTATGAATGAGCGGACGAAAGACATTGTTCATTATGAACTTTGATTGGCATGCTAGAGATTAGAATATTACTTGTTATTTCTTTATGATCGTGGTTATTAATAGCAACGGATATACATGTATGCAATCATTTATAATCCATATGTGTAACGCATGATCAACACGTACCACACATTTGTCCCTTATTATGCACATGTTATCGCTATTAGCGAAGACCCCCTTAAGGTATCTGTTCACACTTTAAGTTAGTAAAAATATGACACTGGTTATATTACCATGTTGATCATGTTGAGCATAATTGTTTATTATACAATAATTGTAATATCTATTAATTTTAATTTAAAAAAAAATACAAATTTTATGAATAATGTTTGCTTTATTCTTTTTTGTGTTTTATGTGCTATTTTAATACTGAGTTTTTACTACATAGAGGATATTCAAGTTTTTTCTATAAATACATGATTTATTTTCATCGAGTGGTATGAAAATAATTATTTCATGAGTGGCGGTAGCCACGAGTGAAATATGGTAATTTTCATGCCACAAGATGAAAATAAATCATGTATTTATAGAAAAAACTTGAATTTTCTGTTTATTATATACATTTTTCTCTTTTTTGCTATAAAATTTGAAAGCTTTTCCCTTAAATTTTGTGTTCTGTCAGAATTTAAAAGAAAGTAGTCCGGCAAGACACCAGTGAAAATACGGAAAATATGTTTCACTGCAGTGAAAAATAAATTTTTACAGTGAAAATACGGTAAATGAAAATACGCATTTTATTTCATCAATATTTCTCAATATTTCATTTACAAGTATATAATTATCTTTTTTAATAAAATTGTAAAATAAATTTTAAGAATTCAATTGTCATATTGACCGACGATTATAAGTCAAAGCTTAACTGGAAAAAGTCAGTAAATTATGGTTTATCTTTCAATATATAATATTGTTTATTCTTAAACCATGTACATGTACATTGTATTTTTCTTTATCATTTTATAAATTATCGATCAATTGAATAATTCATAAAATCTAATTTGTAACTTTGAATAATTCCTCGGCATCTTTACTAAACACGGATAACAAATTGAATAATTAAATAAAATGTTTCAAAGTTGATAATGTCATTTTAATACCATAAAAAATGTACCTTTTTCTCAATTATTGTACATATCACGGATTTATATTACATATAAATCCGTGTACATATTTATTGTTTTTATCTCATATAGATAAAATGAAACATGCTATTGTTGTTTTTTTCTAATTGTAACGATATCAAACATCTACTCCAAAACCGGGAGAGACCGGACAATAAACGTGTGGTACTATTCGCCGGTCACTAGTAAATCCTGGTCAAAATAGACCGGGAGAGACCGGCATTTACCGATAGGAGTGATAAAAAGATATATCTATAAATAGGTTTTTGGAATATTTAGGTCATCAACTGATCATTCTAGGATACATGTACAACAATAACATACCATGACATGATAACCGACTGTGTACTACAAAATGATAAATAAAAAACCCCGAAGAGCGCGATTTATTGACGGAAAAGGTTATTTCATTTGTAAATGTTTGCATTGCGAAAATTCATTGTAACATATCGCGACATTTCATTCTTATTTAATAATCAAGCACCCTTATACCGATCGGAATTTTCGGCTTTTATTATGACCGACTAAAAGGCTCGAGAAGTTGCTGTCGCCCTTTCACAAAATCTGATCTCATTCCATAAGAGCGCCGCGCTTCGGCGCTTCGGCGCGGACGCCAATAAAATGAACGAATATGCAAAGTTGTTTTTTCAAATAAAAAATGACGGTTCCATTTTCTATTACGAACTAAACATTAAGTTCAAGAGATTTGAATAAATTAAGATTGTCTGAGATGTTTTAGGAAAAAGTATACAAGTATAAGGACAAAACGCTCAATCAAAATCAGTTCGAATATTTAATAATTTGACCAGCAAAATAAATGGAATAATAGATGAGCGCAATATTTTCTTTCACCCTACAATACTTGTGATAGTTTTGTGGTTAAATTTCAAAACCAAAGGCTCAGTTTTTAAAGTTATTTCCAGTGAATTGCCGCTTTGCTGATAATCTGTCGTCTTGAATAATCGATCATTTGAACTTCCGGCGATTCTCCATGCAAATGATACTTGTGTTTCCGCCGGAAGTTGTAATGTGGTTTGTCTTGAATTTTTATTACTAATATCAACCGGAAGCCAACCGATTACGTGCGATGCATGTTGAAGCAAGTCAGAGACGCTTGCATTTTCCAAACATGCATGTGGCTTGTCACTTAAAGCATAAACAAAACCGTTGTCGTTTTCTTGGATAATACCAAGAAAGTAAGTGTTACCAACGTACTGTAAGAATTTTTGAAATGTGTAAAATACTGCTTTCTTCTGAAAATTATTCTTGTGAGACGAAGTGAGTCCACTGCGGCAGAATAAAGTATCACATTCGGTGTTGGCGTAGAAATACCACGTGGCTCTTTCAATATTTGACCTTGCCAGCAATAAAAGACCTCGTACAGCGTACACAGCTTGTGCACGCTCACTTACACATTCTGTTCCTCTACACTGTTCTCCCACACCATCAGAATCCCATCCCCATTCTGTAACCCATATGGGTTTCTTCGGTGTGTTTGTGTCCCGCCATCTTGTTATTGGTCGGATGTTATTAAATGTGGACAGTTTATTTTCTGGATACGTTCCTTTTCGTATACCTGCGTCATCATTGATAAAACTGTAAGTATGACAGTTAATGACATCTATATTGTCCGCTACTTCCGGAAGAACCCGGGTACCAATGTAAGTATTTTCGTGGTCTTTATCCTCGGCCTGGAAAGTACCAGGAATAACAATCAATTTGTTATCCATGCTTTTAAGACCGCTTGCCATTCCTTTTAAGACCGAGGCATAAAATGCAGCGTTATAGTCCCATGGTTCGTTGCCGACCTCGACTGCTTGAACAAGACCATTGCCCTGAACTGAACCAAAATGTTTTGCTACCTGTTGCCCGTAGTGAAAAGCAGACTGCTCAGGTGTGTTCCATTTGCTCTCCGGTACTGTTTTATTTGTGAATTGTATGGAAATATCTACGGTTAAATTTGCTGCATTCCATGCACGGTATTCTGTATCCCAGTTCAACCACCACATTGCTTGTGTTCCATGCCCGGCTGCCATTGCATCGTATTCAGGGTCAAGATCGGGATCAGTCACGTCCCAGACGAGATTATGATAATTACGCGCGTGACTTGCAACTTCACTATATAACAAAGGTCCTTCGTTAGGTCCTAATTTGTCACTGTAACTTTTTGTTCCCCAGCCCCAGATCCCGTTCACACCGAGGATTTCTCGAAATGTGTTAACCTGTGGTTTAGCGGATATTTCAGGTCCCCATATGCCGTTTTCGTCCCAAGCATCCACTTCAAAACAATAAACCTTTTTATGATTAACCATATGGACTTTGTATTCTAAAGTAATGTAACGAATATCAGCTGGCTGAATACGTGTAGTGACGGCGTGTACAGCGTTTGGGTCTAAATCAGCAACCATATTCCATATATGTCCGTTTGTTGATGTTTTAAGTACAAGTTTTGTAGCCGCATTACTTCCGGCCCAGTGGCGTGTTCGAATCGTACCGACGCTGCGTTCATGACCAAGATCAACTGTTATATGCTCTGTGCACCCATTTTCTCCAATTGCACCCATGTCCTTTACAGTGAAACCTGAATCAGAAACGAGCTCTAGTTTGTTAACTGTGAAGTTCGTTCCAGGAATATTAATATTCTTATAATTATCAGTGGATGTAAAAGTTTTCAGTAAATGTTTTTGAGAGCCAAATTTTGTTACTTCATACACATATAGATGTGTAGGACTTGGAAACACCCCGCCGACTGAAATTATTTGCAAAACTTGGGAATTTACTAAATCCACAGAAAGAAACGCTGATGACCCGTTTTTCTGCACGTGCGCTGCCGTATAAGGGTTTCCGTCTGTCGCGACTCCGAGACCATTCCCAGAATTCCCACTTGATAAGCACGCGCCAGTTTTGCACGCGCCAAAAATTATATTAACATCATTTCTATTCAGATACCCGTATGGTAAACAGTGCGCTGATACCCAGTTCGTGTTGTCGTTACTGTCAATAACATTTTCAGGATGGGTACCAGACGATGCTTGGACTGTAACGTTATGTAACTTCGTATAGGACTTGATGAGGCCAGCATCTGGATCCCAGCTTCTAATTGAACCAATGAACAACGCGCAGAATATAGTGTATTTCAGAAATGGAGACAACATGTTTATCTGAAAATAAACGGTATCAACTATAGTCCATTACTTGACTAAATACAAATTGGAAGAATACACAAGCGCACGCACACTGGCACGCATGCATGCAAAAAAAAAACAAAAACAAAAAACAGTATATTAATATTATTTTTATTGATTAGATGATACTTTTTAAGTTCTCTAAGAATACCCCTAATTTTTATTTCAATTGATATACACTTATTGGCTGCAAAATTCAGTATAACAATTCTTCTTGATTTAAAAAGTCATCTTCACATTTTGTTATAATTCTGTATCATTTATCGACCCCCCCCCCCCAAAAAAAAAAAAAAAGAAAAAAGAAAAAAAGATTTAATAAAAAAAACATACTCTGATTATAAAAATGAACATTAAAACGTTAACAAGTTAATTTTCATTGAACCTACCACATTATACAATCATATGTGCCACATATTCAGTTTAAATAGGTTTATATAGAGACACTTAAAACAGGATGTACGTACGAATGTTTTGATGTTACATCAATGTATCATCTTTTATCTATCCTGTTATATATAGATCAATCATTAGTGTCCCGGGGATGGTATAGTTTTATGAACCGTTTGTAAATTTAATGAATAGATAATGTTATATCTAAAGGGAAGGTGGTGATGTAGATTGGACTGTCGTACGTTAGACTATAAAGTTTGTTAAAACTCTTATTTTTGACGTCACATTCGAGTTTACTTGGAGGTCATCTGCTAAAAAAAACACCCCCCCCACACACACACAAAAAGCAACGACTACCAACTACAACAAAAAAGTCAAAGCTTTTCGTCAAAATGGATTCTTGCAGTAACATAGTAACGGTTATATTACGGTTAATTTCATGCTGAAATAAAGAGTGGGATATATAAGTTATCTACAGTCGTTAGTAAAATGTCTGAATTTTCTTTACAAGAGCGATCAGTGATCACATATGTGTCGCCTCATGATGGCCAATTTCATGCTGGGACAAGTTTTGTGACAGACGGACAGACAGACGGACAGTGCACAACTAGACTTGGTACAGATCATTCCTGTAAAGTTTGGATAAAATTGCACCAGTAGTTTATGAGGAGTAGTCTGGACAAGCTTTTGTGTATCTGGCAACACACAGAAAAAAAACACCTTTTTATCAAAGGGCCATAACCCTGCCAAAAATCATTCAACCGGAAAACCCGTGCAATATGCGCAACAACTTGAGCTACAGATCAATCCTGTAAAGTTTCATTGAAATTGCATTAGTGGTATAAGAGAAGTAGTCCGGACAAACTTTAAAAATAAAAATTATTAAAGGGCCATAACTCTGACAAAAATCATTGAACCGGAAAATGCTGACAATATGCACAACTAGACTTGGTACTGATCATTCCTGTAAAGTTTGGATGAAATTGCACCAGTAGTTCATGAGGAGTAGTCCGGACAAGTTTTGTGACGGACGGACGGACGGACGGACGGACAGACAGACGGACGGACAGACAGACAGACAGACGACGGAGAAGTGATCCCACTACTCCGTAGAGGCGACACAATAAAAAGAACGGGAGAGGAGGGAAGCTTTGAACATAACTTGTTTGCTTTTTATAAATATGGAACATGGCTGGATATTGTGTGCATCATTCTATAAAGTTTATATATTATTTGAAAAATATTTTAAATCTATATTTTTATTACATGCCTCACATGTTACCGTTTGAAGTATTACTGTTATTTGATTGTTTACGTTAATGCTATATAACACGTTAATGCTTTAATTATAACACGTTAATGCTTTATAACACGGGAATGTTATATAACACGGGAATGAATAGTGATATATAAATATTTAAATATAACAATGACAATAAATACAATATAGAACAATTAACAGATTGATCATCTTTTTTTCTTTCTGTGCAATAGTAGTTAAAATAAGAAGCGTAATATTTTGTTTTTGAATAATTCATGAAGTCACTGGACCACGAAATTAAAACATCGGTCAGTGACGTAGATATGTTCTAGTTAATATAAAATGTATATCAATTAAGTTTAAGTCAATCCTTCTTTAAATTAAATGTATTAATGTTTTTTATGTCAATCCTTCTTTCAGTGTTTTTCGTCAAAATATGCAAAATCCTGGTGCGATTTAAACATTATTACACCGTTGTGTATCAGTTATTAACAATTATTCTCCAATCAAACGATTGATTGAAACTACATACATATAGGTGTGCACAGTAATATTTTGTTTTTAAAAGTCGAAAGCCTTCAGATAAGTGAAATATTCAAGCTATAGAAAAAATATCAATATTCATGTTCATTATTCATATGTTTTATCAACATGGCGCTTCGTATGTATGACATGATTTACGAACTTTATCGACATATTTTTTACCAAGTTACAAACAAGGGAAGATTTGTTTTCGAATAACCATATCAGGTCGATTTACCATACTCCTTTAATTCTTTTATCGCATAGTTTGGCCCTCTCTGTGGTCCTTTACCGACCGAAATATGAGGCATGATGAAAATTGTAATTAAAATAGACTTGCATACTCCGTAAATTGTACGTATTACAGTACATTATGTTAAGCATAAGATGAAAATATAGAATAACGCGCATTCATTTAAAAATAAGGATTATATTGGTGTTTGGAAAAAGTAATATGTTTTAACCCCTGGTTGTCAAACTATGGATTATCAAATATATTTATATATATTTATTTAAAAACTTCTTAAACTTACCTGAACTATTGTATTATAAACAAATAGATAGTTCTGAAATACACGACCTTATATAGACTGAACTAGCTCTATGTTTCTATATATAGTCTCTTATCATTTAAAAGTGGAGATCATTTAGTAGGGACATTATATTAGCATTACATATAAATATATAATTGTATAAGTTATTCTAAAAATAGAATATATTTTAAATAAGTTGACCACAATACAGTCGTAGAACAAGACGACGGCGTCGGTTGAAATAAACTAAATATGGGTTATGCTGGCTAAATAAATGTAAATTTCAAAAGTACGTAATCCGTTTACCTGTGCAAATAGTCTAAATTTATGGCACAATATCTTCATGTAAGTATTTCGATTCCACAATCCTACAAGCTATGTATCCATCTATTTCACAAAATTAAGAAGTATCATAAAATTCATTTTACACTTTAATTAAAATTTTGATTATTTATTTTGAGTTAAACTATAAGTTGCTAATGTGAGTTTTGCTGTTGTCCATTTTTTTTATATCTAATGTGTTTACAATTTAAAGATACCTAAAGAAATAAAATATACGCGTCATTTCAGCGCGAAAATACCAAAGGATGTTTCAAATTCTCAGTCTAACTGTCCCTGCAGGACTGGGCCTTAAACGAGACTTTGATAATCCAAGAGTCAAAGAAGACCAGAGTTAGAGATCTGACTGCAGTGATCCACTGCATGGAACCGAGTATCAAAATAAAAATAGATTTTAACAAAAATTAAGTGGCTTATATTTTCACTGTTTTCTTTCTGTTAGGCTACATTGTGGTTTCCCGTGCCGTGTTTAATTCATTTGCTAGATTTTAATTCATTAGCGTAACAGCTGCGTATTTAGAAATTACCCGCGTAAAAGACGCACCCGCGTATAATACGGGTAGCGGAACTATTTACTGCAGTATGAAAATGCAATATTGACAATCGGATTTTATGCTATTGTGGATAAACAAGAGAGAAATAATTCAACATTAATAAAAGAATAAGAAAACTTTGTGTCAAAATGATAAAAAAAATACATGAACTTTCCGAAATTTATTTATTAAGAGCTGTCGGCAGAACAGCACGACAGAACAGCACGACAGAACAGCACGTGCCTCTATTTATAGTGCTTGGCCAATAAACAGAAAGTTACCAGTCATGTTCACAAAAAGGCTTTGATTTCTTTCATTCTAAAATTAAATCCATGAAGTCATGTTCACAAAAAGGCTACGATTTATTTTATTCTAAAATTAAATCAATGTCAGAATTATGTGTCTTGGGAAGTGGCTTTCATTACGATTTTATAGATATGAATTACTAGTAAGTTTAAAGTAACTTCCACCAATATTTCAATAATTAAGTAATATTTCAAGCCAAAATGTCTGGGCGTTTGAAAGTGACCTCAAATTATAATCAAAAGGCATGTATCAATTTTCAAAGAGGAAAACCTTCAGTAGTTTTGAAGGATTAGTGTTACTTGCAAACGGTTTTTATGATAGATTTTTTCAAGGTTTCAAAAAAACGGCCATAAATCAGTCAAAATCCAGAACTGTGGACTAGTGATTATGATCTCAAAACCACATGTGTAAAGTTACAAGCAAATATCAAAATGATTGATAAGATGTGATGCTGTACAAAAATGCCTATTAAACTTTCATTAATATTACAATGGTGTGGATGCCGGTGATACAGGCAGTCCCGTTATTCCTTTAATAGGTGATCTAAAAAGTAAATTTAAATGCACCGTCACGTAATGATTTTCACAATATATTTGATGAATATATTTTCCCTAAAGAAATATTTGTCAGTTGTCACTGTCATGGCGTGAATAACCCCGCATACCACTATGTCAGAATCAAAAGTGGTCATTTAGAGCTCGAGGACAACCTCCCAGCCAAATCTAAGGGGAACTTAAGGGCCAGTGTATTTTTATTATTTATTCTATTTTTAGTTGCAAATTTTCCAAAAGGACATTACCTTTTTTATTTTCCTCAAAACTGAAACTGCCATTCATACTTGAATACCCCCCCCTAATTAATGGCAGCTTTGCCTAGGGGAATGTTTTATGATGAATAAGAGAACATAAATTTATATGCACCAAATTGAAAAGTCAGAAATCCAATTTTCACTTCGACAGGCATTCTAGCATTTGGGCAGACAATTTGTTTATTGTAGTAAAAGCCCCGGACCTTGACCTTTGACACATCGTACACCTGAAAATCAATGAGGTTATTTTTTAATAGTTTCTGACCAACCCCTCAACACTAAATTTGAAGACTGTTGACCAAAGCAGTCTTATGCAATTGAGCGGACAGGTTTTTTTATCTTAAGGTCCCTGTGACATTGACCTTTGACCAAGTGACCCCAAAATTAAAATTGGTCATCAAATGGTCATGACCAACGTCCATACCAAATATAAAGACTGTGAGTCAAAGGATTCTTAAGTTATTGGGCGGACAAGCTTTATTTAGTCAACGCCCCTTTGACCTGGTGACCTTAAAATCAATAGGGGTCATCTTAAGCAATTGAGCGGACAGGCTTTTTGATCTTAAGGTCCCTGTGACCTTGACCTTTGACCAAGTGACCCCAAAATTAACATGGGTCATCAAATGGTCATGACTAACCTCCATGCCAAATATGAAGACTGTGGGTCACAGGATTCTTAAATTATTATGAGCA